AACTAAATCACATCTGTAACACTATAGGCTTAACTAAATCATAGCAAACACTACAGGCTTAACTAAATCACAGCGAACACTACAGGCTTAACTAAATCCCATCTGTAACACTATAGGCTTAACTAAATCATAGCAAACACTACAGGCTTAACTAAATCACAGCGAACACTACAGGCTTAACTAAATCACAGCAAACACTACAGACTTAACTAAATCACATCTGTAACACTACATGCTTAACTAAATCACATCTGTAATACTACAGGCTTAACTAAATCACATTTGTAACTCCATAGGCTTAACTAAAGCATCACATCTGTAACACTATAGGCTTAACTAAAGCATCACATCTGTGACACTATAGGCTTAACTAAAGCACCACATCAGTAACACTATAGCATTGTTTCCAAAGGTGGAAATATTTAACATACATAGGAAGCCTTACTGAAATGAGAAGCTCAACCTACGAATTTTTGGATAAAGGCTTGGATTTAAATAGAATTCATGTAAAAAAACATGAATTCTAATTTCATGTTACAGTATGTTTAATAATACATGTTAATACTAGTAAACATAGAACATTATTGTACACATAACTGTTCATTGGATGAACCCTGTACACATGAACATCAATTGTTAAACATGAACAATACTAATGAATGTTAATATAGCCCCTGTATAAGTCAACTTATGTAAGTTTGTTAACATGACATGTTGAAAAAAGTGTATTCATTGCTATGTACTATATTAAGTTTTTGTTCTTTTCACATAAATTCCAACTACTTTATAAATAGTTTAAAGATCAGTATTGTATTTATATATATATATATATATATCTGACAAAAGCTTTAATGTTCTTTTTTTTTACTTTTTTAAGATGACACTGCATGCGTTATAATTTATTATTCTGAGGTTTTCGTAATATTTGTGTGTGTAAGCTATATCAATAGGCCATCTAAAATAATGAAATAAAACTCTATTAATGAGAAGCAACAGTCTGTTTTACTTTATTCATCAGAATAGACAAATTATTGGTTCTTGTTTCTTAGTTTGGTTTATAAGATAAAAGTTTGAAATCACTGTTAGGGATGATATGTTTTAGTCTTTGAAATAGATATTGAACAGACTGAGAAAACATTTAATAGACGAACAACTATAAAATGATATCTCTTAACAACCATTCCGCAGTTGAAAGAGTTTGAAGAGAAAGAAACAGCACTTCTTGTCGATAGGTACAAATTTCTAGATCTTCTACCGTGTACTTATTCCGAGCTAAAGGCCATTGGTTATCGAGTAAGTACCCATTTTTTTTGGGTACTTTTATTAGATTAACTTAAACTTTTTCCGTCACTTGGGATGGGTACCTTTGTTAGATTAACTTAAACTTTTTCCGTCGCTGCAGACGGGTACTTTTGTTAGATTAACTTAAACTTTTTCGTCACTGGGGACGGGTACTTTTGTTAGAATAACTTAAACTTTTTCCGTCATTGCGGACGGGTACTTTTGTTAGATTAACTTAAACTTTTTCCGTCACTGGGGACGAGTAATTTTGCTTGTCTAATATATGGGTAAAAACAAAACAAAACTGGCTCCTACAGAAGTAACACACAAACTTTACAAAAGGCATTAAACCAATTCCATTGGATAATTTAGATAAAACTGTTTGAAATACACATAAGTTAAGCACTCGGTATTTGATGCGAAATCTGTCCGAACGAAAGGGTGGAAAATACGGATGCAATAATAACAAATGGTGAAGTTGTGGTGCAATATGTGGAGAGCTGTAAAAATGTCCCCAGTGACGGAAAAAGTTTAAGTTAATCTAACAAAAGTACCCGTCCCCAGTGATGGGAAAAGTTTAACTTAATCTATCAATTTAAATTATTACGTGGACTTTTAAAAGGTTAATTGTGTTACATTCTTGGTATCACTCAGATCCAAAGCTCAGACCTGTTTACACCACCCACAGGGAAAAGTAATTGTTGAGCATTTCTATCATTATAAGAGCCTCTCAACAATAACATACGGTAAATCTACAGTTTTATTCTTTAAGTTACGTCACATTTTGAAATGTTAATGATAGTGTGATTAATTCCTAACAATTTAGTGTAGAATATCCCACTGGCAAAATCAAATTTGGCATCAACATTATTCATATCTGTCATTTCAAATGTGAATATTGAGCTTTGTCTGCGTGCACAGCTTTTCAAATGTAGCACGGGAAGTGGCTGTCGTAAATGAGAGACAGGTGAACGCTCAGACAGATACCATGGTTTGCAGTATACGTAAGATTTATGTATTTCTATGTTCTTTTAGTTTCTATGCAGCAAAATAAGTGTATGTAAGTGTGAATTATATCAAGGGATTATTCGCTCTAACTCTTCTGAATCACAGCTTTCTGTATTGCAAACACTAAGCGAGAAGAACACTGCAGAGGGGTGCTGTTCCCCTAAGAGAGGTAGTATGCGATTTCTCTTTGGCAATTCTGAATGCAGTTAGAAGTCATCATGCAGCAAATTAAACTTTGACCTCTGTGTTTGTTAATACCATTAAAGGAAGAGCATGATGACCTAGTTTCCTTGGTGCACCTGTATTTTTGTTTTTTTTAAATTATCTGTCAAACAGATTGCATTCTTTTATTGAGATAATTATATATATATGTAATAAGTTTGATCTTCCTGTTTTTCATGCATTTCGTTATCACTGGAACCATGAACTAAAAAAGTTGTTATTAATTTTTTATAACAGACGTATGTAACTCAGTGAAAAATTTAAAAGAATTAAATGTTTATTTGAAATACTTATAAGAACCATTCTAAACAGTTGACCATGTGGGCTGTTTCTTCTGAGGACTTTGAGGTCACTAGAAGGGTTCATTTTATTTCGTAATTCAAGGAAATGCTTTATTTTTTACTTCCAGGAACTTGCAAAGCAACATGCGGTAAACTTACCCACTTCAAATTCCTCTGTTCGAGAAAATTTACAAGAGGAGGAAGAAGAAGCGGATGCAAAACCAAACTACCCTCGACCCGATACCAACCAAATGATTCCGTTTAAACCCAGACAGATAATTCGTATGTGATGTTTAATAACTCATGTGTGATGCCTGATAACGTGTATGAAATGATCGATAATTCTTATATGATATTGGTATACAGTCCTTGACGACTTGTATGAGATGCCTGATAATTAACGTTAGATTTGGTACTTCATATGAGACAATTGAGAATTCCTGTGTGGTATTTCTTACTTTTTAGTTATGCTTAATTATTCTGATGTGGTACTTGGTTACTTGTATTTAAGCTTAATAATTCATATGTGGTACTTGTTAATTTGTAAGTGATGCTTGAGAATTCTTGTGTGGTACTTGTTAATTTGTAAGTGATGCTTGAGAATTCCTGTGTGGTACTTGTTAATTTGTAAGTGATGCTTGAGAATTCCCGTGTGGTACTTGTTAATTTGTAAGTGATGCTTGAGAATTCATGTTATGCTTTACAGTCTGTTGAGTGATTGTCATTTAACTTGTATTTAATACTTGATACTCATAGTGATAATCTGGACATTTTTAAGACATATTTTCAAAGTTTTGGGTGTTAAAATTATTGAGTTTTTTTTAGAAATTAATTACAAAATAATGTGGTAAAAACGTTATTTTCTTTAAATTACAAAAACTTACAATATTTTATACATTATTGTTTGCTATGAATGCAATTTTAACCACATTCTTATGTACAGTTTAGGAAATACTTACCATGATTCTACCAAATATTCTGTTCTCTCTCAAGATAAGAATTGTAAAAGGAGTAATTTAATTTCCCAACAGCTACAGGTGCACACCCTGTTCCTGGTGGGATCTTCCCTCCTCCTCCTGCAGCTTCCGTGCTAATGACATATCTACCACCTCCATCATGTTTCCATGTGAGTTGATACCATGGTAATAAAAGCTACACTTTAATGTCGGATACACTTAGAATTAACTTAACTTGGGTTGAGCATAAAAAAGTTATGTTTTATACCTAGGGAATATTAGAATATTTTCTCAATAAGTTACAAACTATAAAAACGATTTACTGAGTTTCTAATAGTACGGTACATCCTAGACTTCTGTAAGTTGTTTTGTGTGATCAAATGTATTTAGATAACTAGGAGAATTTGAAGCGGAGTAATATGTATTGGACTTAAGTTTTTATGGAGTGGACCTGCCCTGAATATAGGTTTAGATAACACTTCACACTCTGAGGTTTTCGTCCAGATCTAACGAAAGTCTCGGCAAACCTTAAATAAACGATATTTTGACAACGTTTATTTATAGGATAAGATCATTACAGGTCTTGTGGTTAGTATATCCAAAATGCCTTTTTTCTTTTGTATGAATCGTTTTTTTTTTCAGAATTTTGTTTGAACACAATCCACAAATTAGTTGAGAATCATGTTTAGGAATGGAGATGAATGTAGTGAGAGTGTGAACGGCATAAGTACGCTAACGTGAAATGTAAAATATAACTGTTTTAATGTTCTCGTCTTAGAAAGATGACTAAAACATAGTTGATATTTAACAGGGCCCTTTTGTTGCCGTGGAGGAATTAATGACTCTGTTTAAAAACTGCTCCATTCCCGATGAGCGTAAGTAAAAGCTTTTCATTACATGCTATTATGGGATGGATAAGAATGTCCCTTGATATCACATACAAAATAACGATAAATATCAAAACATAAACATCTTCTTAACTGAAATATCTTAAATTTCTGGATGATATCTTTTTTTCAGTTATACCAAAGTGTGATGAGGATGAATTGTAACGTGATTTTTTTACAGTTGAAACTGTCTGAAACTGGATGATATCTTTTTTCAGTTATACCAAAGTGTGATGAGGATGAATTGTAACGTG